TGTCAGAGGCAGTGAGATTGGCACAGGATAGAGCAGGGTTTAGGGCTGATGTACATAGGGTCGCTATGAGTCGCAAACAACTTGACGGCACATAACAACAACAACAATGTGAGTATGTTAGTAACAAATGCTGAGATGTAATCATGAATGTGACAAGCCAGTGTTGATACATGATAATATGATAACCACTATATTTTCACATCCTAGAAACTGCAATGCTATTGTCAACTTTAGCATTGCCACACGAATGAGATCAAACCTCTGATAAATACATCTTTTTATTAAACCTGTGTTGCGTGCTAGGTTTTGTACTGTGCTTTTGGAAACAAAATTAAATAAGAAAACTTACCGTCCATCAAGGAGCTCAAACTCTAGGAAATGAGATGAAGAAACGAATCATTACAATTCAGTTAGATCATGAAGTAGTAAAGAAATCTGTGTTTTTATTTACTCATTCACGTATTCATATTTATCCTCCCATCCTCCTGAAAGAAATTGAGAACATTTACATACAGAAAACTCAAGTAAACATAACGTAAATAAAAATGAAAGGAAGGAATCAAAATGGAGCGAGGACTGATGCTTAAATAAATATCTTTTACTGACTAAGAACGCTATGTTATAGATTGCAAGGTACTTGTTGTGTTTTCATATTTAATCCAGAAACAACTTTGTGCTGCTTAGAATTCACCTTTCTACAGTAACAATTTTCAAGTTTAAGACAAATAGATTCTCTTTTCCTTTGTGACGCTTACTGGTGACATATTTATATATGCCACGTGGCAAACTTGTTGGATACCTTCTCATTTATTAAATGCATTGTGTATATCACATAAAGGCCTGGTGTAATATGTGAAATTGCTGTTTAATTTTTTTAGGGGGATGCAGAGAGAGTAATGATAATTACCGGACCAAATATGGGAGGAAAGAGCTCCTACATAAAACAGGTTGCATTGATTACTATGATGGCTCAGATTGGCTCCTATGTCCCTGCAGAGGAAGCGACAGTTGGGATTGTGGATGGTATTTTTACAAGGTAAAAACATGAATTCCACTTGCATACATTTCTGAAAACAAATTAGAGACACATTTTTTACATTAATATTCTGTGTGTGTGTGTGTGTGTGAGAGAGAGAGAGAGAGAGAGAGAGAGAGAGAGAGAGAGAAAGTATATAGTGAGCTCTGGTGACTTAGAGGTAAGGAGGGCTTGGGCTGCCAACCCAAAGGCAGGCAGTTTGAAACCATTAGTTCCTCTATGGGAGATAAATGAGCATTCTTTTCCCTTGTGAGTTGCAGCTTCTGGAAACCATCTGGAGGGTCAGCTGTGAGTCAGTTCCAACTTGATGGTCCGTAACAATAACAACATGTGTATATATGAATAGATATGCTTTTAAAATATTTGCAGCATGAAAGTTTAAAGAAACAGTTTCATTGTGAATATTAATGTTGAGTCTTAGACTATCATTGTGTAGTTGTTTTCCAAGCATTATTGCATTATTGAACTTTTAGTTGAAACAAAACCTTATGTGGAAAATAAAAATTTAAACAGATAAAAGCAGAGTTGCTTTGTCTGAATTGGAAGTGAAAATCTTGGAGACTGCATTGCTAGGCCTTGTAGAGCATTGACTGAAAACTGTTCTATTCTCCTCACTTTACAAGTGAGAAAATCAGGCCGACCTGAAAAATGTTAGTTCAGTGTTTTTTTTATTATTCTTGTGGGAATTCTTTTTCCTCCTTCTAAGTCCATTACATGTAATTTTCTAGATTCTGAGCTTCAATATATTATCTTTTATTTTATGTAATAGCCTGGCTCACTACCTAAAATTTACAATTTAATCTATTTGAAGCATTCACATGTATAAGTTCTTAATTCATTTGCCTATTTGTGTAGTCAAGCTGTGTGTATAGAGTGATATATTATCTGGTTCATATTTGTATAATATTTGACTCTAGAATGATAACAGAATCCATGACTACTAATGTTGATAATAGATAATGCATGACTTCTATAACTTTGTTTTCCTTCCTAAGAGTGAAATGAACAAAGCAACCTGAAATCTGGTGGTTCTCTATCACTAACGAGATGTTAATCAAGTTTCCATGTATTTGTAAAACTATCTATGAAGAGAAATGGAAAGATTCTTTAATTTAAAAGTTATCATTTTATATTTGTAGGATAGATGAGTATTTTGGTAAAACAATGGAGAGTGACAAATTTAATACAGATAAAGTGGGAAAGAAGCAGAAAAACAATGAAGAACAAAATACTGGATTATATATTTGGAGGATAATCTTTTATCAGTTAGAGCAAAGTATCAGTTAGCATGTTTTCAGAAACAAATACTTCAAATGTTGTAGTTATGTGCCTTCAAGTCGCCTGCAACTCATAGCAGCCCTATGTATAGCAGCTCTGAATCCTGCCCTGTCCTGAGCCAGTCACTCTGACTCAGACACACCTACCCACATTGCCACAGTTACTGTATCAATCCATCTCTTCCCAGATCTTCTTCTCCTGCACTGTCCCTCCACCCTTCCACACCCATGTTAAAAAAACATATTTACACATAAAATTTACACAACACATTTATGATTATAACATATGAGGGGATTTCATAGTTGAAAAAAAAGATCATATAACATGTGCATTATTTGTGCAAACCTACAGTATAAAATAAAGGAAAAGTATTTTTTTGTCTTAGAATTTTGAGATACATATCTGTTTTTCATCTTTCATTGGCTCTATAAAAACTTTCACTTTTCCTACATGGTTGCAGGGTGGTGGCTACAACTTCAGACATCACATTCATATTACATGAGAGAAAGGAGGGGAAAAAAAAACTCTTGCAGCTTCTCTCCCTAGAAAGCTACTGGGACTATAAAACTATAAAACAGACACCAATCCTGTTTGGATAAAAATTATTAATTAGAGAAGCTCACTAACCAACCTTACCTGCAGGGAAATGTAAAATTGCAACTATGACCTATCTACAAGTGATACATGAGATTCTGTGGCAGCCTGTGATATGAGGATATGACCTGCTCAGGAAAATCAGGGGAAGACTTCTTTTAAAAAAATCACTCTTAAGTTCCTTTCTGAAGAGGAATTAACTTGTCAAAAAAAAAGTAAGGACATTTCAGCAGGATGTTCAGTAGTTCTTTAGCAAAAAGAAACATAGTCAGATGACTAATAGTTAATCTGTATAATATTTTAATTATTAAATGATATATAACTTAATTGTAGATGTTGTTGTTGTTATTGTTATGTGCTGTCGAGTCGCTCGCGACCCTATGTTCAACAGCCCTAAACTCTGCTCTGTCCTGTGCCAATTGCACTGTCTTTGATAACACCCATCTCGATTACCCCAGTCACTGAATCAATCCACCTCATAGAAGGCCTTCCCCTCCTGCGCTTTCCTTTCACCCTACAAATCATGATGTCCCTCTCCTTACAACATGTCCAAAGTATGTTAGACGGAGCCTCAGAATCCTTGCCTCCGAGGAGCCGCCCGGTTTGACCCTTTCCAGGATGAGTCTGTTTGCTTTCCTAGCAGCCCATGCACGGTACCCTCAGTACTCTTCTCAAGCACCACAGATTAAAGGCATCAATTCTGAGAACTGTACAGTAAATAAGGATGACAGAAAAAGAATTGATGTCTTTGACTTGTGGTGGTGGAGAAGAGTACTGAATATCTTATGGACTGCCAAAATAACAAATACATCTTGGAGAAGATGCAGCCAGAGTGCTCCTTGGAGGCAAAGAAAAGATAGCTTCATCTCACATGCTTTGGGAATATTTCTGGGAGAGATTATTCTGTGGAGAGGGACACCATGCTTGGAAAGGTAGAGAGGGTAGGTAGGCAGAAGAGAGGAAGACCTCCAACCAGGTGCATTGACACAGTGACTACTGCAATGGGCTCAAGCGTGTCAGAAAATGTGAGGATGGCATAAGATACGACAAGGTTTAGATCTGTTGTTCATAGGGTCACACTATCTGTGACCACTCAACTTGCTGGCACCTAACAACAACAAAAATAATACCACAGAACTCGGAAAATAATTAAATTTCTGTGTAAATTTTGAGGTTATTGTGGATCATGTAAGTCTAGGTAGCGTTCTTTTTCTCATTGCCATTAGGTGGGAACTGACTCATAGCTGACCCTCTAGTGCATTTCTGAGGCTCCAGAACACACGAATGGGGTTAGGAGATATTGCCCATTTTTCTTCTGTGGAGCCTCTAGTGTTTTTGAACTGCCAGAGATACACTACCTTTGGGGTGGCAGTGCAAATCCTTTAAGACTATACCACCAGAGTTCTGGAAGTTAAGTTCTAGGAAAAAGAAATTACAGTTAATATAGAAGTAATGAACGTGAAAGTAAAGATCCTGGGGCATGGAGATTAGTCTCTATGTGGCAACATTTAATGAACTTCTTCTATGAAGGTAAGGCGTAGTGTAGATTTTATGAAAATTCAAATGAAGCTTGATATTTCAAGAACCAATCTTAACAGTTTAGAATCATGGAAGTTTTGTTAACTAGATTAGTGGAAATAGAATAACCAGAGCACATATAATGAGAATGTTCTTTGTGTAAATGTATTTAATGCTTGGACTTGCCTTGACGGCACCTATCAATAACGGCAATGTCTGTGAACAACTTGTATAGAGTTTGTTGATTGAGAACTTAGACTATTGTGTAAACTTCTGCTCAAAACATATGTATGTATTCTATTTTCCAAGCTACAGCTTGTGGTGGTGGTGGTGGTGGTTATGTGCTGTCAAGTCAGAAATGACTCATAGCTGATCTTCTGCCGGGTTTTCAAAGGTTTCCCTTCTCCCATGGAGCATCTGGTGGTCTCAGACCACTGCCTTTGGCATTACAACGCAGCTTCTTGCCAGTAGACCACCAACCCTAAAATCAACATTTTCAGAGTTCTTGCTAAATTTACTGTCTCATACTTAGGAATCATTACTGTATGACTTGTAATCTTAGTCTTTTTAATTGTCCTGTATAAAAAATATTGTTATTCTAATTAACTTTAAACAACTTTTTATAATCAATGAAAAAGAGATATTAACACAATAAGATATTTGCGTAATGTTTAACTTCAAACTTTGTTTTTAAGTTGTTTTAATATTAATCAACTGATATTTAAGGTAAGAGGTTGAAAATAACATATTCTACAAAAATATTCCCTAACATGTGCCAGACAGTGTGCCCTGTTGCTGTTAGGTGCCATCAAGTCGAGTACGACTCCTCGCAACCCTATGAACAACAGATCTGAATCCTGTGCTATCCTGTGCCCTCCTCACACTTCTGGGCACGCGCTAGCCCAGTGCAGCAGCCCCGTGCAACTCATGCTTCTGGCTGAGGCTCTGCTTCACCGACCCTCACCTTTCCAAGCATGATGTCCCTCTCCATGGAGTGTTTTCTAAGAAGTGTAAATTAATTTGGTGGAAAGGTATAAACAGGTGACCTTTAGCATGTTCTTCAGGATGTCAGAATTTCACTTGAATAAGAAACAGATGGCTTTATCCTTAGGCAGAGTTTTGGCACACACACTGCGTTGGCTCTAAGTGTTTTATCAGTATATTGTGATATATGCACTCATTGATAATTGTTTCTAGATGTATATTTCTAAGGATCATTAGCATCTCTGAGTGTGTCACTGAGATAAGATCTGTTGTTTATTATCCTGGCAAGTAATACTTAAATCTCATTCAGTTTTTTTAGACTCTGTAATTAAATTTTAGGAAAGGGATGAATTGTTTGAATAATTGTCTAGTTACAAAGTGGCTTGGGAGAAAAAAACCACAACAAACCCAACCTCGGTCTCTTCTCAGGGTAATTTAGTTCCACTTATGTCAGTGGAGAAGCTCTGGTGGTGTCTGGTGTGTTACATGTAGTGATGCTAACCTAAAGGTCAGTGCTTTGAATCTGTCTGGGGCTTCTAAAAGATGTATAGCCTTGAAGGGACCCTACGAGTTGAAACTGACTGGACAACAATGAGTTGGAGTATTCTTTTATATGAATTAAATGT